AGCACAGGCGGGGAACGTTGGAGTCCTCTGTCACTGAAGGAAGCAAGCCCCCTGTTCGCTTCAAGCTGCCTGGCTGCCGGCCGCCATCTTGGTTGGCAGTTAATTTGCATATCTCCCTGATTAGCCAATGGGAAGGGTAGCGGCTGTACTGCTAATTACCATGTTTCTCTTTTATTAGATAGGATACTAACCTCATAAGTGCCCTTTGGATGGAGGACAAGTGTGGCCAGATTTGTAAATCTGCCCTCTTAGGAATGCTTCACTTTGGCTCTTCCCCCCAATTCCTAATAACCTTTCTGCCATGCAAGCCAAATAGTGGGGCATTCAGACATTATTATCTATCACCAATTCACAGCAACTTATTAGCAAACTAGAGGCCCGTTGCAGGAAGATTCCTGTAAGAATAGAGCTTCCTGCGGCTGGAGCAAAGCGGTTTTTTTCTCCCGCTCCCAGCCGCTGCGGCTGGGTTTTTTTCTCCCGCTCCCAGCTGCTAAGGCTGGTTTTTTTTCTCCCACTCCCAGCTGCTAAGGCTGGGTTTGCCCTCCCACTCCCAGCCACTGCGGCTGGGTTTCCCCTCCCGCCTCCCGCCTCTGCAGCCTTGGCTCCGTTCCTGTCTCCGCCGCCTCTACTTTGCTCCCTTCTGTAGCACTTCATTTCCACGTTGTCTTCAGTCTTCGCTCCCAGCCAGTATATGCAAATTAGCCGCCATCTTTGTTTGGCGGTTAATTTGCATAGAACTCTGATTAGCCAATGGGAGGCATAGCAAAGGTAGGGTCAATTACCATGTTTGTCTATTATTAGATAGGATATGAGTGGCATAGGCAGGATTAGATGACATCTTGGGCGGTTCATTACCAGCTTTCTGATACCATGATTATAACCAATCAGATAAATCAGAAAATATAATAAACTGTGCTGTGAATTTTTGTAAATAGTTTTGGCAGTTGGTCACTCATTGTCCTTTGCTTGAGTTAATTCAATCAGTGGGCAGCAGCTTACCTTTCTCCACCCTGATTCATTCACAGTGATTAAATTTTCTCTGAAATTTCATTCTCATTCTCTTTTAGAATGGCTTAATTACATGAAAAAATAAAAGATAGCATTGCAGGCAAGGCTACACATGCATGTAGCCTACTTTTCTGAGAGGCAGAGGAGCAAAGTAAAAATAAGGAAACAGAACTTTTCCCTTCCACATTTCTCCCACCAGATTATTGGGTCATCTTGAGATGTTTTTTGTGAAGAGCTGAAAGTAAAGTTCTCATGCCATGTACCCCATTGCCACCTATTATTTGTCTTCATGTAATGCTATGCTTTCTAGTGTGCCTCCACAATTTGTTTATGTTACTAATAACAGGCTTCATAGAGTAATTTTTAGTGGCTGGTCCCAATTATGCAGTAGCTGACAAATTTTTAGTAATACTTTGAGGCTCATTAATTTGACAAGAAGAGCTGGGAAACAAGCCTTCTTAAATGTTACCTAGTTAGATTATCTAGGTCCAGATTCTGTACCTGGAAGTCCAGTTTAAGAGTGAGTTATGTTAAGACTAAGGAAGGCAAAACAGTCCAAAATCCATATTTACAAAAGGGAAGAGTTCTTGTCCAGCCCAAAGAACTTGTAACACAAGAAACTCCCTTACTTTCACCTGCTTACTCTCCAATGAAAAACTGACTGTATTTTTTACTTACCTTCCTTCGGCTATCAGTCTTTCCTTAAAAGACTTTAACTTATAACAGTTACGAGTAAAGGTAATAGCTTTTATTTTGGTATTAAAAACCCAAACCAATAGAAATCAGAGTCTTATAGGGTCTTAACCTTATTTAACACTAGAGGCCCGGTGTACAAAAATTTGTGCACTCGGGGGAGAAGGGGGGGTCCCTCAGTCCGGCCTGTGCCCTCTCGCAGTCTGGGACCCCTCAGGAGATAATGACCTGCTGGCTTAGGCCTGCTCCTGGGTGGCAGAGGGCAGGCCCAATCCCTAGGTGCAGCCCCTGGTCGGGCTCAGAGCAGGGCTGATTGGGGAGTTGGGGCGCCGCCCCCTGTCATGCACAGAGCAGGGCCCATCAGGGGGTTAGGGAGCTCCCCACTGTCACGCACAGAGCAGGGCCCATCAGGGGGTTGAGGAGCTCCCCCCTGTCACTCACAGAGCAGGGCGGATCAGGGGGTTGGGGCGCCGCC